AGCACAAAGCACGCGGCCTGTTGGGAGCTCCGGCCTCACCAAGGACCACTCACAGTGCTTCATCAGTCTTGTAACAAATGGCCACGCGGCTGCTGGCAGAGTTTGCAATAAGGGACATGGACGCTAAGAACGGGGTGTCTGTGCAAGGTCGGGGGGCCAGGGGAAGGATCGGTGAGTCTAGTTTCTGCTCAGTTTTTAAGCAAGCCGAAAACTATAAAATAAAGTCTGTTTTTCAAAGTAGTATTCTTTGGCCGTGAAGCGTGTGCTGCACACAAACATTTTTCTGGGGCATCATCTTTAAAATCACATGAATTTTTCATTCTCCTCCCGAATGCAGAAATGGTTAAGGTTAAAATTACAACCGCCCCGAGCTTTTCAATAAAGTCAGGATTCCCCCTGGGGGTCTGAGCTTGGCGTGAGGAAACCTGGCTGTGGTTGACAGGGAGTCACTGAAATCATGTGTGCAAAGTGAAGCAGACCCTAAAGAAACCAGCGGAGCCATGAGCCATCCATGATTCTTGCAGAGCAGGGATTCTTTTTGCACCCTCGGTTTCCCCCCACACCCCGTTTGCACAGGGGCCCTGCTTCAGACGTGGATGTCGTGTGCAGAAGCGTTTGGCCATCCCCCTGATGAAGGCACTAAGGAAACCTCCTGGGGCCTGAGCTGTGGCACAGCGGGGAGGGCGTTTGCCTTGCACGCAGCCGACCCAGGTTCGATTCCCAGCCTCCCATATGGTCCCCCGAGCACCACCAGGAGTAACTCCTGAGTGTAGAGCCAGGAGGGACCCCTGCACATCACTGGGTGTGACCCAAAAAGCAAAAAAAAAAAAAAAGAAAAAGAAAGAAAGAAAGAAAGAAAGAGAAACCACCTTTGCAGCTACTGGGTGGACCAGAGAGGGCTTTGGATGCAACACAGCTTTTTCCTAAAAGTGGAAGGTGAAGTGAATGAGCTGAGGGTGGAGGGGGGGGGACAGAGGACAGAGCCCATGACTGACCCCCAGGGTTAAGCAGGTGTCAGTGAATCTTGAAATAGAGGCTGAGGTGGGGGTTTCCCTGTCCTTGAGGGCAGACACCTCTTCTGGTTGCCCGGAGTGACCTCACCCATCTTGGGGTGTGGCATGCTGCTAGTGTTCCTCAGGTCTCTGAGCACCCCTGGAACCAGGCTCGCCTACTCATTGGTCCTCTCAAGGCATTTTCTTGTTTGTTTGGGGGCCACACCCAGTGATGCTCAGGGGTTCCTCCTGGCTCTGCACTCAGGGATCACTCCTGGCGGTGCTTGGAGAACCCTATGGGGTGCAGGGGATCGAACCCAGGTCAACTGTGTGCAAGGCAAATGCCCTCCCCACACTCACTAGGCGTAGCTCCCCCCAAAAAAACCAAAATACATCATGGGGCCAGGGAGCAAGTAAAGGGACCTTCCAAACTGTCACTCTGGACCTGGCACTGTGCTTTTCTAAGACCCATGGTGGCCCATCCCAGGAAACGCCTCCAGAAAGCGTTTCCATCCCAGGCACAAGAAAGAGAAATGACCCAGATAAGGGCACTGGGGTCAGTCTTGGAACACGAAGCATCACCTTACTGGCTGTGGGCCATGGGCAAGTCCCTCCCCGCCTCCTATTCTAGCTCGGTTCTCTCTGTGTCTGGAACCAGGAAAGTACCCCACAAACACAGTGACCTGCTTCTCCCTGTCCCTGCCACAGCCACCCCTGAACTCACTTGTATTTGATAAGCAAACACTGGACAAGCATCTCCCGGGACCTCCACCCGCCACTGGTGGCTGGGGCGTGACTGCAACGGAGACAGACACACACCTCGGGTTTCAGGAGGCCTAGACTCAGCGGTGCGTGTCTTTGCCTCTGAGATGGGCGATGCCAGCTCACAGAGACTCAGGACAGGGGGAGAGGGACTTGTCTTGCATGTAGCATCCCGGGGTTCCATCCTGGCACTGAAGACGGAGCAGGAGCAGTGAACCCCGAGCACCACTTGGTGTGTGGCTTCCCAAAAGCAAACAAAACACACAGGGAGCTAGGAAAGGGACTTCCAAGGCCCCTGAACCACAGGCCTGCTGAGAGTGTGGCCCTCACAGTTCTCAGCACCGCAGGGCTGGGGACCACCCCAGGGCGACTCCGGGGTCTCTGAGCACCGTTTCAGGTGTCTCTGAAAAATAAATCAGAAGAATGGAAAGAGAATCCAGAATGGCTGGAGGCCTGGAGGACTTTGCTGGCAAGGGGAGAGAAACTTTGCTTTCGCTTATCTATGCAGTCTTAAAAGAACAACTGATACCAATTAGATTGGCACTGCACCGTAGCACTGTCCTCCCATTGTTCATCAATTTGCTCGAGCGGGCCCAGTAACGTCTCTATTGTGAGACTCGTTACTGTGTTTGGCATGTCGAATACGCCACCGGGAGCTTGCCAGGCTTTGCCGTGCAGGTGACATACTCTCGGTAGCTTGTTGGGCTCTCCAAGAGGGGCGGAGGAATCGAACCTGGGTCGGCCGGTCCAGCTGCATGCAAGGCATTAAATTAAAAAAAAAAAACGCACAACGGTGCTGATGGACACAGGAGGGAACAGATTGGAGGTGACCAGAGGGAGGGGGGACGGGACAGGGGTGAAATGGGAAATGGGGGTTAAAAGCACAAACTTCCAGCTAGGAAAGGATGAAGTTTGGTGCTGAGGGACAGCACAGAACGACAGCTTTTGATGTGGGAGCACATTTTTGGGAGTTGCAAAGGAAGTGAGTTGTTAGCTTCATCACATACACACACACACACACACACACACACACACACACATAAAGAATCCTACTGCCCTCTGATGAGGGGATGAGGGTAGGTGACTAGACAGGGGTGGTCAGTTCACACCTAGACAACTCTCGGGTAACTGAGTTGTATCGTGTGTACTGTGGCAGTCCTATTATGTTATCTGTCAGCCATGTGTATCCATTTTCAAGGTAAAATTAAAACTTTTTTTTAAAAAAAGAAAATTCAGGGCCAGAGCAATAGTCCAGCATTTGCCTTGCACATGGCCGACCCGGGTTTGATCCCTGGCATCCCATATGACCCCCCGAGCACCGCCAGAAGTAATTTCTGAGTGCAGAGCCAGGAGTAAACCCTTAAGCATCACCAGGTGTGACCCAAAAGCAAAAAAAAGGAAAACTCAGTGATTACCTTTTGGGTTTGAGGAGTAAATTGGTTTCAAGCACGCCCTGTTATATCATGGTGCAAAGTCTACCCCTTCATGGGCCAGGGGAGAGCATAAATAAGCATCGAATGTGTGAGGCCCTGGGTTTGATCACCAGCACCGTAGGTCCCCACCCTGGCCAGCACCGCCAGGAGTGACCCAAAAATAAATAAAGCCTACACTCCCCAGTGACTCACAAGTCCACGTTAAATACTTAGTTTTATTTCATTTACTTTGACCACTGATCACCTGGAGAAACGCACATGAGTCACCCGCCGCAGGCCGTGCAGGAGACGGCATGTTCCCGGCCTGAGAAGCCCTAGGTCAGAGCTCACCTCGGTCTCCTCCGTTTTCTTTTCCTGTTTTGTTTGGGGGATGGTTTGAAGCACCGTTGGCCAGAGCACCGCCAGGTGCGGCCCCTAGAGCAGTAAGGACAGAAGTTTCAAAACCAAATGCTGGGCTGGATTCTGATTTTTGACATTCTCGTAAATATGTTTCCATGCAAGCTCTGTTCTACGGGGGTGGGGGCGGGGGGGGGGGGTCATGTTCTCCTTTTTAAGGAAAGTTCCAGCCACAGAGAAGCTCTGAGGAAGTTTGATGATTGACACAGAAGTTGTCTTCCATGTCATTTGTTTTGGTTTTGTGTTGTTCTCCTCTCTCTCTCTCTCTCTCTCTCTCTCTTTCTCTCTCTCTCTCTCTCTCTCCCCCCCACCCCCGTCTCCTCTGTCTCTCCACTCTCTTCTGTCTCTCCTCTCTCTCTTTTCCTCTCTCTCTCCCTACCTCTCTCTCCCTCCCCCCACCTCTCTCTCATTTTGTTTTTTGTTTGGGGCCACGCCCAGCATACTCAGGACTTACTCCTGGCTCTGCACTCAGGATTTACTCCTGGTGTGCTCGAGGGACCATATGGGATGGTGGAGATCAAACGTGGGTCGGCCACAAGCAAGGCAAGCACCCTCCCTACTGTACGATCACTTGGGCCCCAATTATTTGAAGAATTTATTTTAGCGTGACTATAAGAAAAGAATTATAGTGTAGTTAAAGGATACATTTACCTAAATTATCAATGCAGAGGCATGATTGTACGCAAATGCAACACATTATAAATGCTAATAGAGGAGTGATATCTCCTCCTATAAAGTTTAAAGAAAATTCTTTTCCAAAAAGTCAAACTGTTCCAGACTCTATGCCCATTAAAAATCACCAACAGTGGCCGGCACAATAGTACACTGGGGAGGACACTTGCCCTGCACACAGCTGACCTTGATTTTCATCCCAAATACTCCTTCTGGGGGCTGGAGCCATAGCATAATGGGTAGGGCACTTATTTGCCTTGCGTGCAGCCAACCCGGGTTCGATTCCCAGCATCTCATATGGTCCCCCTGAACATTGCCAGGAGTAACCCCTGAGCACTGCTGGATGTGATCCAAAAAGAAAACAAACAAACCAAATACCCCTCTGGCCCCTACGCCTGTCAGGAGTGATCCCTGAGCACTGAGCCAGGAGTAAGCCCTGAGACAGCCTGGGGTGGCCCCAAACAAGCAGAAGAATCCTGAGCAGCCTTCCTGGTGATCTGTGGGGGCCCATGAGAATGGGCAGTTGAGGACCTCGTGAGGCTGCAAAGGCCTCAGTGCTCTCCCTGGGCTCTGTCCATGGATGGCCAGGGCCCAGCAGTGGCCAGTCAGCACCAGGAGGCATTTGTGTGCTCTTCTTGCACAAGCCAGGCCTGAGGGGCACGCTGGCCAAGGACTCCCCGCCCTCCTTGGACGCCCACGAAGTTCATGGGGACTCACGGCACCGCCTCTGTCTTTCCCGTTTCAGAACTCGCCATGGTTGACACCGAGATGCCCTTCTGGCCCACCAACTTCGGGATCAGCTCCGTGGACCTCTCCGTGATGGATGAGCACTCGCACTCCTTCGACATCAAGCCCTTCACCACGGTGGACTTCTCCAGCATTTCCACACCCCACTACGAAGACCTTCCGTTCGCCAGAGCAGACCCCACAATTGCCGACTACAAGTATGACCTGAAGCTCCAGGATTACCAAAGTACGGTGTTCGCGTTCACTTTTCAGATTAAGATTGGAACTAGCCCGATCGCCCATAAAATATGCAAAGTTCCTTAGAGAAGACGTTTGATCATTCACTGTTTTTTTTTTCATAGAGTGTTGTGAGACTTACCAAAGAGGAAGGGGAGGTGTAAATACCCCAGACCAGACCTGCTGGATCCCCTTTTTCTTTCTCCCTCCCTTTTTTTTTTCTTGCTTCTTTACAAATGTTTACCAGCATGGTGATAACATTGCCACGTGTAACTCAGGCTAAGAGTCCATCACCCAAACTTTGAATTCTTTTGGCCACTCAGAAGTTAATGAGTAACTGTTTCTTGCCTTAAGTTGCTTACCTGCATTAAGTTACTGTGGTCATATTTTTGCCCTCATTTTGTCGTTTGAGGAGCAAATTGAATAGTGAAATCTGGGTGTCACGGAAGTGATGTCTCTAACACAGACTCCGTTATTCAGCACCAAAGCGAGTTTTGACATTGTTAAGTCTCTTACGGATGACTCTTCACGTCCCTACTGAGTTCCAATACAGCATCAGACTCAGGGCAAACTTGAGTTGCACTCTGCAAGATACAATACAGTTCTCTGATGCTGCTTCCTTGATTCTTATCACTTTGTGGTCGGTGTGTTGCCACCCTCATTGGCCACCACTGTTTGACAATAAGAAGTAAGAACTTCTTGGATTTCTAGTTTCTTTTTAGATTAAATAATATACTTGGTTATATTCATACGTGTGGTTTGCAGTTGAGCCGACTGTGGAAATTTAATCGTCCTGATCCTAGCCAGCAGGAAGATAGAATGTTCTTTCCATACATGCTCTCAGACCCCCATCAAAGATCGTTTTACAAACCCCCACCTCTGAGTACTGATGGGAGGAGCCTGGTCTCTCTCTCTCTCTCTTTTTTTTTGGTGAGCACTTCTTAGGGAGTCCAGGGTCCATTCCTAAAGCTATTTAGCCAACTAAGTTGGATGGTTCAATACTTGGGCCCATGGTGAGCCACCTGGGACTATACCCGGCTGTGCTGGGAATCGAACTTGGGCTCTTGCACAAGCAAGCCAGGTGACCCAGCCCTTTGGGCTACGCTCAGACCTATCCTTTGCCACGTGCCTTTGAGATGGGCTCCCTCTTCCCTGGATGGGGCAGGCTTGCTTCTGCACTTTTCACAGACACAATTAAAATGCATGGAAACTGCAGCCTTTCTGTGAAAACATGTTGCTTTATTGTATGAAAACACGTTACTTTAGTGAGGAACACCAGCTGTGGAAGGGCCCCCCCTGAGGGGGGAGTGGGGAGCAAGACAACCTGGACTGTTTCCAGTGTGGCAGTCCCATGAGAGCCTGAACATTCCGGGTGTGGAAGGGTCACCGAGCCCCGGTTTATTCTCAGTGATGCCCAGAGCTATGGGCACCTCCGTTCTCCTGTGTATTTTTCATGTCCCACCTCGGTACCCCCAACAGAGCAGGCAGGAATCAGAGTGAGCACCACAAGCTGAGCCCATGCTCTGCATGCAGGAGGCCCCGGGTTCGGTCCCCAAGGCCTGCTGGGAGTGACCCCTGGGCACAGAGCCGGCTGTGTCCCAGAAACAAGCAAATAACCCAGTGGGCAGGAGAGGGTGTCACAGCAGCCTGCCCCACTCCTGGGATCATGATCTGCTCATGTGCTCTGCCCACAGGTGCCATCAAAGTGGAGCCCGCGTCCCCACCATACTACGCGGAGAAGACGCAGCTGTACAGTAAGTCTCACGAGGAGCCGTCCAACTCCCTCATGGCCATCGAGTGCCGCGTGTGTGGGGACAAGGCTTCCGGCTTCCACTACGGCGTCCACGCCTGTGAAGGGTGCAAGGTAAAGACCTCTCGGGCCTCCGGGAGCCCACCCACCTCCTCCCTGTCAGATTCCACCTTGCAAACGCAGAGCCGGGAGTGGGAATCCAACGGCCAATCAGTCCTTTTGCATTTTGCAGGAAGCCCTTTCTTCCAGAGATGGAGCCCAGGGCTAATTTGGCCCTTGCATCCTGCCCACTGGAAACAAATGAGAGTGACTTTAATTTTAATTTAATTGTTTGAAGCCCTGGGTCGAGGGGACGGGCAACGAGGACCCAGGCCAGAGCTCAGATCCACGGAACCCTTCCGTGGCATGTTATAGTTGATGTTTGGTCTTCTCTAATCAGTGCATGATTTTGTGTACGTAAGGCTTGATCGATCAGTGGTACGTAGGTAAATGGAGAGGAGGGAAAGAGAATCTCAGAGTTGAGTTTGTCGATAGCCGAAATGAGGAATTAGCATGATTTGTTCAAGATCACCCAGGGGTGAGTGGCAGAACTATGACATAGCACACCCAGCCTCCTCAGTCAGCACTTTTTTTTCTTGTTCCAGTATTGCTTTGAGTCAGGAAGTATGAACAGGCAACGAACTATAACTTTTGTAAGGAAGAGACTATTGTTCTCACCTCCACTCCTTAGGGAAAAAGGTATATTCTCGAAAGGTCAGACATCCAGAAATTTTCTGCCCAGTTATAAAAAGTGTTAAGCAGCTTGTTTTAATATGTAAGTCTCTTAAGATAGTTTTAATATACTTGGTCGATAAAATACAGGTATTTGCTCTCTACTCCAGGGTTCAGAGTAGTTCATCGATAACTCTCTACCTTATAAAATAAATACTCCTTATTGAAGATCAGACTCAGTTCCTCAGTTAGGCTTTTTATTTTCTCAGAATCAAGACACATATAATATCAGTTGAATAGACGATAGAATACATACATGGATTCTGAATTAAGTAATGGGCCAATTTTTAAAAAAACACTAATATTAACTGAATTTCAGCTATGTGCCAATTATTATATGAGATCATATGTTTTTGTTTAGCCACATTATTTCCATGATGTGGACATTACAAATTCAGTAAGAATCAGTTTATTACTTGAAAGTCACCTAATAAATACAGTATTGACTGACTTTGGAAAAGAAAGCCATTCCCTATACTCCTCGTCCAAAGTAAGTGGCCAGTCACCCTACAGCCGCAAACCTAAGTCACCTCCTGTATAAAGATCACCTCACCAAGACCTTGCTCATCCCTCAGCTCTGAAACGTCAAATGACTGCTTACGTGGACCAGAGAGATGGTACAGGATTGAGGCTCTTGCCTTGCATGCCAACTCTGGTTCAAGTCTCGATACCACATATGGTCCCCCGACCACCTCCAGGGACCCCTCCTAAGCACAAAGCCAGAAATAGCCCCCAAGTGCCACCAGATGTGGCCCAGAAACAAATAAAGACCCTCTTTCAGCACTATGATAAGTGGTGTTTTATTTTAAACCCTAAAACCCACTCCAAGCCTATCCAATCCGTGATCTTGTATAATCACGATGTCTAATCAGTCATTTCAGATCTTGGAGAATGGTAGCACCCTATCACTTTATGGGCTCAGCCCGTGCCATGTTGGAGTAATGGAATGGCTGTGGAATCCTAAGAGGCCATTCTGTTTCGGTCACCATGAAAAGTTTCCTTAATTTAAAAAAAAAAGCAGCATGATTGGTTTGCAAATAAGTTTCTATGTTGCATAAGCTGATGAGACCCTTGGGAAACTAGGGCTGTGGGAGCCAATCCTTCACCTTGACTCTTCATATCATTTGGTGGCAGATAAACTTTCTGAGAGAAGCTAACCCTTGAAGGACAGAAATGCTGGCGGAAGTTAGAAGTCTGCTCTGTGGTATAAACCAAGTTCTAAAAGCAAGAGAGAAATGGCATGAACAAAGAGAACAAAGGGAGGGGAAAGTAGCCAAAAAGAATAGAAAAGGTGTGACTAGAGTGATAGCACAGTGGGTAGGGCATTTGTCTTACGCACGGACAACCCGAGTTTGATTCCCAGTATCCCATATGGTTCCCCTAGCACTGCCAGGAGTAACACCTGAGTGCAGAGCCAGGAGTAGCCCCTGTGCATCACTGGGTGTGACCCAAAAAGAAAAAAAAACAGGAAAGGTGAAGAGTCTAACACATTGAAGTTAGGGATGGAAAAGGTAAAAGGCAGAGACAGAGAACAGATGCATAAAACCAGAGAGAACAGGGCAGTTCTTAACCTACCATCAAGAAACCAACCAACTAGCCCTGAAAATTAGAAGAAAACTAAGAAGATCCTATAGTAGCCCACAGTAACCAGCCAGCTACCCAAAGCTTGGATCACAGACTTACTAAACTAAAATGAAACAAAACAAAAGCTGTGCTAACCTTGGAAGGGTAAATAGACCTATATTCATTATAAAGATAAGAATAAGAAAAATGTTAGTGGGATAGTATAATTTGGCTTCTCCAAGTATGAGTCATCAGTTCTCAAAGTGTGGTCTGTCAACCTCCAGGGACCCCACTGAACCCCCCAAGGCCCCCAGGAGGTCGAAAGTATTTTCATAATAATACCAAGTTGTGATTTAGCATTTTCACTCGCATCCTCTGAGGAGTGTCAGTGGAGTGTTCCAGAAGCCCCACGACATGGAATGATAGCATGGCTTTGATCACTAATGGGATGCCTGCCTATATTTTCTTGTACATAATCATTTCTCAGATTTCATTTCTGATGTGTGTCAGGACAGATAGCCTGCACAAGCGAAGACCATTTCTAAGGGAGCTAAGGGGACTTGCAGAATAAAATTATTCTCTGGAGGATAAAGCAGGGCCAGCCTGCACCACTTGGGAATGAAGAAAGGCGCCATCACATTCTGATGCAAGTAAATCAGGCCAGTGGCCCCCTGCCTCCAAAGACCACTCTTGGCTTCCAGCAGTAGTCCACGGGAATCCAGGAAAATGAAAGGAGCCAGTATATCTGACTCACCTGTAAGCGTTTTCTGATAGGTGCTCTAATCATTTAAGTGCTCATGGCAGAAGTTTGCCCACAAACCTGCGGATGAATTTATGGATTGAAAAAAAAATATAATTGGTGGTATTGCTCAAGCTAGCTGTCAGCCGGTCTTCTTAAACAATTTTACCACGCAAATGAAACAGATTTATATTAGTGGTCCTTGCCAAAATTCCTAGTGGGAGGAAAAGCTTGAATCTGCATGACAGAGAAATAGGGACAGATTCTTGACTGTGTTCATGTGCAGACTTCGGGGAAATAACAAACTTTTGGCCGCCGGAGCACACAGACACCTCAGAGCTTGCAAAACTCTCATTGATTCAGCTTGCAAATTGGATGCTTTCTTTCCTTTTTCTCCCTGTTTCTCTCTCTTGGAGGTTTCATCATATGTTTATGTCTTTAAGGAAGGATCATTTAGGAACCTCAGGCAAACCTAAAGATATCAGTAAGGTACCTCCTGCCACAACAGCTGGTCGGAGTACTTTTAGCCTCCTCAAATTAGCAGGACTGTTCTTTGGTCTAATTGCTTCTGAAGCTTCATTCAAAGTAAGAACAGTTACAGAGAGGTTGGAGGTATTTTTGAAAAAAGGAAAACCAAAAATAAAGGAACCTCTCCATCACAGACAAAACTAGATTCTGAATAATGTACTGAAATTCAACCACCAATCCAATGACCAGAAGACTGGGCATTGAACCGGTGCATCATTTCCTAGTCTCTAGAATGAGAATAAAGAAAGCTGGGGCCAGGAGGTAGTGCAATGATTGGATCCCCAGCACTGTGTAGATCCCGGGGTATCCTAACCGTGGCCCTGGAGGGCCCTGCACCGCATCCTCAGCCCCACTGTGCATGCCTTGCATGTATGAAGCCCCCGGATTTGACCCCTGACACTGCTCCACATCCTAGTGTGAGCCCCAGCTTCAACCCTTGTGGCCCCACAGTTCAACAAGTAAATGAATAAATTCATAATACACAACTGTGGTGAGGGGAGGGGGTGCTGCAGGTTTGCAAAGATTTTATGCACAGGTGCGGTGCTGAGGTGATGTGGAGGAGAATGTCCCTGGGACTGGAGACTGGTACAGCGGGTAGGTTCCTCGTCTGCACGAGGCTGACCCGGACTCTATCCCTGAACCCGGCCCGCGTGTGGTTCCCCAGAGCTGCACCGAGAGTGATCCCTGAGGACTGAGCCAGGAGTAAGCCCTGAGCACCGCTTCCTCTGCCACCACAAAAAAATAAGCAAATTTGAAAGAATGATCCTTTAACATCGAAAGTACCCTGTATCAGTCCAAAAAGAAACAAAAAGAGGGAAAGTGATCTTCCAAAGGACTTGTGAAGGCTCTGTAAGGATCCACCAAATAGCAGAGACAGAAGTGTTTTCTCTTTTGGCAGATGAAAAAATGATTTTCCTGAAGTATTATTGTGAGTGTGACTACATCCTGGGCATAAGAGACCAGCCCTGCCATCACAGAGTTCACAGTTTTAATCAGAGGCTGGGGTAGGACCAGCAAATTAACTCCAAGTAAATTCTATAACATGGTAAAACATTAAGAGACTGTTACAAAGCTACTGGCCGGAGGGGGCAGTCAGAGAGACCTTGCATGCAGCTGACCCCAGCTCAGTCCCCATCACTGCCTTAGGTCTGTCAAGCCCCACCAAGAGTGATCCATGAGCACACACCCAGCCAAGAGTAAGCCCTGAGCACTGCTTGGCGTGGTCCAGATCCCACCCAAAGAAAGCCATTTAGTTAAAACCAACCATAGCATAAAGGGTGTCAGGGTTCCAGGGGGATCAGGAAGGACAACAAACCACATAGGAAAGAGATTGGCGAGCATCCTTGGCAGGAGACAAAGTGTGGCAGGAGGCAGGGAACAGGCAAGTGTGTTTCAGAGAAAGAGATGGAGGGAATTCAAACCCCTGCACATGGCCGGCCGCCAGGTTTGCAGTCAAGTCAGCACTAGAAGGAATCAAGACTTGGGAACCAAAACCTGGACAGGCCAAATGCGTGGCATGGGAGGGTCTGGGTCATTCTGGGCTTTTTTGTGAAAATGGGACCAGATAAATATAAAAGGCCTCAGTACTCCTACATAAGTATATAAGAGTTTCAGGAGCATAGAAATATTCTGAACCCCAAAAACAGAGTTAGAAAGCATTTCTGATTAGAATTCCCACCCCCACCCCCCCCCCCAGGTCTTTCAAAAATCAGGCAAACAGGACAAAATTCACTTTGCCTTCAATGCACATATTTGCTGTTTTGGCAGCACGTCAATTTTGGGGCAGAGTGTGTGTGTGTGTGTGTGTGTGTGTGTGTGTGTGTGTGTGTGTGTGTCGGGGGGGGGTCGTTATTCTTTTTTCCTGCCCCACCCTGATCCCTTTTTTCTATACGGTACAATGATTTTGGAGCACTATCCAGTGCAGAAAGAAACAAAATGAATTTTGTAGGACATTATGCAACATAGGAGGATTCCATAAAATTATTCACATGTGGGTTTTTATTGGCCCTGATCATGCTTTAGAATGACATGATTATAGCTTCGCCAAACTGCTTAGCACGATTATAAAGGCTGGGCTGCTGCTGAAATGACTTGCAGAGAGTCGGGGCTGATTACATGGTGTTTGCTTCACGTTGCATTACACCCAGCACACGCTGAGCAGACCGAACTCCAGATGCAGAGCCAAGAAGCACGGAATGACACCAATTGGATGCGGTCTTTGTCCACGGGCTGGAAAGGGACACTGGAGACTTTCTCCGGGGTTGAGCAGAGACACTGAGTTCCAGGGAGGTTGCGACACTAAGCTAGGTTAGCAGTGACAGAGCATGTCGAGAAACTGTCCTTTCTGGGGCCGGGATGTACCACAAGCAACAGCTCAAGTACGTGCCGTGCATATGTGAGGCCTTGGGTTGGATGCCCAGCACCACATGTACCCCAAGCACCCTAGGGAAGAGCCCTGGTCACCCCGAGGATGGCCAGATGTGGGCCTAGAAGCAACAACCCCAAAACAGTTAAGTGGTAATTTACAAAGAAAACACACACACACACACACACACACTCACACACTCACACACCACACCCTGTTCTCTGGATGGAGGGGTCAATCTGATTCAGAGAACTTTGGGGATAGTGAGGGACAGGTACAGCAAGAGAAGAGGCTGGTCTCCCCCAAATTGACCAAGTGTTATAAGCCATGGTAAATCAATAACATTTTAATTGTGTGTGTGTGTGTGTGTGTGTGTGTGTGTGTGTGTGTGAAGCAAAGTAGTTTTATTTCAAGAACTTGACTTAGAGAAGTGTAAGAGGAGAAAAGGAGACAAATTCATGTTCAAGAGAAAGCCTGGGCTTCTCCAGAGTAAAAAAAAAAAATCCAGTAACATTTAAATGGAAAAAAAAAGGGAAGAAAGGACCATCGCAGACGCCCGGGCGGACAAGATGACTTCACTGGGTGCTGCCTGACTCCGACACCAAGCTTTCTTCTTTTCTCTCCCGTGTCCCCCCTGCAGGGTTTCTTCCGGAGGACAATCAGGTTGAAGCTTATTTACGATAGGTGTGACCTTAACTGTCGCATCCACAAAAAGAGTCGAAATAAATGTCAGTACTGCCGATTTCAGAAGTGCCTTGCCGTGGGGATGTCACATAACGGTGAGTGAACCCGAGCACCGCCTGTAGGCGCCCTCTCTTGGGTCACCAGATGGTCACCAGTAGGTCACCACTAATGCCAGGTTGGCAGGGAGGGCAGTACCTGTGGATGAGACAGTCATTGCCCAGGGATGCCAGGCCGTCTACACTTGTCATGCAGAATTCTGTGTTTGGTCATCTGCCATGAGAAGAGGGGCAAAGGAGAAAAATCCAGAAGGTGCAGGAAATGACAGTAGGATTTTAAAACAGATACTACAGGTAATTATGGGATTTTTTTTTAATTTATGTTTTTGGTTTTGGGGCCCCAGAGTTGCTCAGGACTTTGTCCTGGCTCTGCGCTCAGGGATCACTTCTGGCAGGTTTGGGGCCCCCTATGGGATGCAGGGATCAAACCCAGGTGAGCTGCATGCAGGGAATACTCGTTGTACTATCCCTCTGGCCCCAGTTGTGACTTTATCTTTTCATGTTGCTTCAATAGTATTAAAAAGCACAGCTCTACATTATCTGAAGATGAATGCAAAACAGGTGCTTATTCCTAAGTATTTTGAAGGATTCATTTGTGAAGCCATCAGGACCCAGAGTTTTATTCCTGGGAAGGTTTTAAATTATCAACTTAATTTCTTTTTTAAAGATATAGGGCTATTCAAAAGTAGAGAGAGAGTATGGGGACTATTGTCTGCCATAGAGGCAGGGGGAGGGTGGGAAAGCGGGGGGGGGGGGGTATACCGGGGATACTGGTGGTGGGGAATGTGCGACTGGTGGAGGGATGGGTGTTTGATCATTGTGTGATTGTAACCGAACCCAAACATGAAAGTTGTTGTAACTATCTCACAGTGATTCAATAAAATTTAAAAAAAAAAAAAGCCCAGCTCTGTTACCTTGCATGCAACCGACCTGGGTTTGATCCTCAGCACCACATATGGTCCCCCAAATTCCATCAGGGTGATCCCTGAGTGTCAAGCCAGGAGGAAGCTCTGAGCACAGCCAGGCATGACCCCAAAACCAAAACAACAGCAACAAAAATGTTGTAGATATACTTGAATCTCTTAGATTTGTCAAATATCACTTATTCCTTTCAAAAACCACAGAAATATCAAATTGAATTCAAAGTCATATTTTATTAGCTATCCTATTTTTTCCTTTCCCCTCCCTCACTACTAATTTATTAAAGTCAGAGTTTAAACTGATCTACTAAGATCTATAGACTCCAAAGCGTCTGTGAAAATTAAAATGTTCCATCATACCGATGCTTGGATTTCACGGGAGAAATCATCAAGATGACAATCACGGATTGGTTGATATTCAACTCTTTAAAGTTAGCTCATAGGGGCCAGAGCGATAGTGCAACAAGTAGGTTATTTGCCTTGCACGAAGCCAACCCAGATCAATGCCAAACATCCCATGTGCTCCCCCGACACCACCAAGAGTGATCCCTGAGTGCAGAGCCAGGAGTAACCCCTGCGCATTGCCAGGTGTGGCTCAGAAACCAAAAAATAAATAAATAAAATTAGTTCACAAAATTGTCTTTGTAGGAATGTTGAGTGTGGGGTTATTTCATCTAAGAAAGGGGGCGTATCCTGAAGGGAACTGTGAGCCGTTGCCGCACTGGATGGAAATGTGATTCATCTCCCCTACAGTTGATTGCATCAATCCGGTGGCACCATATGAATGCAGTCACCAATTACCAAAAAAAAAATCATTTGCTGGTTTCAATCCATTCGTTTTCTTTATATTCCAGATCTCATAAATCTTAAGGGCGCGTTTTCAAGTCAAGGGTCATATTTTAGATGATGCAATCAAGTTGCAATAAACTTATCCTATCTTTATGAAGAAATCTTTGACGTTAAGGTCGTTATCCCAAAGACTTCCTGGGTGAGCCTGCCAATGGTGCTTCTACACAGTCAAGTAAAATATAGCTTCTGTTGCATCCAGTTTATGGGCAAGCAGTAATTCAAAGCCCAACCATGTGTAGTATTGACAGTATAGTTTGCTCTTCCCAGCAAAGTCACAGAAAACTATCGTGAAGTTGGTAATTACATCATCCTTTTGACTCTTCTTCCCTTCCTCTTCCCCCTTCCCCTCTGCTCTCTCCGCCTTCCCGCCTCCCTGTCGCTTGAATTGCAAAGATATTTATGATGGAGTTTCAGGATATATTGTTCCGACACCCACCCTTTCACCAGTGCCCATTGTCCTCCAATGGTGTCCCCAGCTTTTCTCCCATCCCCCAGCCTGCCTCTGTGGCAGGCACTTTTTCCCTCCCTCCCTCCCCCATGGTCCTAGTGCTCCCTTCCCTAATTTATCCCCACCTCCACTTACACCACCACCACCACCACCACCACCACCACCACCACCCCCCCCATCCCTTGCTAAGTTTCCTCCTGAGACCAGTTCTCCTGCTCTTCCTTTCTATGGCCATTGAGCCTTTGATAACCCCCTACGAGGTTTCTTTAGATCCCACATATGAAAGATCATTCTGAGCCTGTTCCTCTCCCTCTGATTTCACTCCACATGATACTCTCCAGATCTACCCACATTGCAGTACATTGCAGGACTTTGTCTTTTTAAGGCTGTTCAGTATTCCATTGTGTAGATGTACTGTTGTTTCTTTTTTTTTTTTTTTTTTTTTGCTTTCTGGGTCACACCCGGAAATGCACAGGGGTTACTCCTGGTTCATGCACTCAGGAATTACCCCTGGCGGTGCCCAGGGGACCATCCGGGATGCTGAGAATCAAACCTGGGTCGTCCGCGTGCAAGGCAAACGCCCTACCTGCTGTGCTATCACTCCAGCCCCGTAATGTTATTTCTTTATCTAGTCATCTGTTTGTGGGCACTTAGGCTGTTTCCATATTTTGGCCATTGTATACAGTGCTGCAATGAACATCGGGGTGCAGATGTTGTTTCTGATTTGTGCTTTGGAGCCCTTGGGGGGATTCCAGTAGTAGCATTGTTGGCTGTTGTGGAAACTCAATTCCTAGCTTGTTGAGGAATGTCCATATTGTCTTCCCAAAAGACTTTACCAGTTGATGTTCCCAGCACTCCTCCGTATGTTGCAGCCAGTATCAGCGTCTCCTCTCGTATCTTAGCATCTGCCAGTTGCCCAAGTTGCCCAAGTAGTTAATTTCACCAACATGTGTTGGTGTCATCGAAACGACATTCATTGGCCAGAACCAACTGTTCTCTCCCAGGCCTGATGCTCAGCAGTTGAAAGCAGCATGATGCAGGTTGTGTAATGATACAGCCCCAGAGGGCAGGTCCAAACTAAGGAAGGTTTCACTGGCACATTTGGTGAGGGACATAGTGCCAAGGGGAGGCTCTGCAGGGAGAACTTCACTTAGCGCATGGGAGGGTGGGAGGGCGTGTCTTTAGCATTCTCCCACCTGAAAACGCTTGTTGCTCCAACATCCACTTTTGGGACTGGCTGACAAAAGCGCTCAGAGGTGGACTTGGTGTGCTTTAGAAGCGGTTGGTTGGTTGGTTCGTTGGTTGTTTTGTTGGTTGTTTGGTTGTTTGGTTGTTGGGTTGTTTGGTTGGTTGGTTGGTTGTTTGATTGGTTGGTTGGTTGGTTGGTTGGTTGGTTTTTCTAAGTGATTGAGATTTAAAAAAAAATATCCAGAACTTTGGGGCATTGAACAGTCCTTCTTGCCTGGCCCCTGGGTCTTGCCAACGATGGCATCAACTGTACCTGAGTGCTCCCAAACACTGTCTGTTTCATCTCTGTCTAGATGTCACCCTTAGAAGAGAGTTCTAGAAGAAGGAGAGCAGTATACAGAGCTGTTCTCCTGGCCTCCCAAAGGTGCAGAGCCACTGTCCTGGTTTTCTGTTTGGAGGGAACAAAACTGCTGCCTGCAGAATCTGATTTGGGGGCAGTTCTGGACATGGAATATCAGTCCCATGCCTGTGTGCTGCTCTAAGGCTTTGTGCTAATGTTCCCAGCCCCTGGCTGCACACTTTTGCTCCGAACACTCTCACAGACTGACATTGCTGCTTCAGTCCAAGAACTCACACACACACACACACACACACACACATACACACACACACACACACACACGTTTATAGTCTTCAAACGTAATGTCTGTGTAATGTCACTGTTCCTGACATTAGTCCCATTTCTTAAAAGTGCCCCCTTTTATTTTCCATAAGCTAGTCTTTCAAATTTCTGACTAGTGATTAATTTATATTCTGTGCTGCTTTTCCCATATAAACTGAATAATAAAATTTTAAGTGTGGGTTGTACAATTTTAAAAAATCTGAAGTCGAGGCAGGGAGGAACTTGGAGCAGGGACCCCAGAGCTCGACGCCAGCATTGTGTGCCCCCTGAGCACTGCCAGGGAGTACCTCCCCCCAATAAAATAATAAAATAATTTTTAATTTGAATGAAATAAGAATTGACTTAGGTTACTTTTCTATCATTGGACTCATTTTCCCTATGTGATTGAGATTGGAAGCAAAATTATCTATTTCAAGAGCACCAACGTGCATGTGTGAGACCCCAACTTTAATCCCCAGTTCCACAAAAATTGTTTTTTCAAATATTTTACACAAGTATAAAAAAATTAGTGAAACTCAGTTTTTCTCCTTAGAATATCTTCTACAAAAGATAATTTTTCTTTCTATTAGAATCAAGCAAGCTGACAACTCTAAAATGAGTTTCTCAACAGCATCAGAAAAATACAGGGGGGGAAAAATGGCTTCACAGATTCAGGGGATACTCAGCATCTTTACAATCATTCTCTCTTTCCTTGTACCCAGAGGATCTGGCGCATATTGCAAAAGAAAAACTAAAAGGAAAAGGGATACGTCTGAAGGACAAGGTTCATCTTCAACATGGATTCCCCCCGTCATGTGTCTTCTTCATGGTGTAAAGGAAAATTGCCAGGGCTGGAGCAATAGTACAGTGGGTAGGGCATTTGCCTTGTATGTGGCTGACCTGGGTTCAATTCCCAGCATCCATATGGTCCCTCGAGCACTGTCAGAAGTAATTGCTGAGTGCAGAGCCAAGG